ACTGTGTGTATAGATATAGAGTAATATGGGGAATGGGCTCTGTCACTGTGTGTATAGATATAGAGTAATATGGGGAATGGGGTCTGAGTGTCACTGTGTGTATAGATATAGAGTAATATGGGGAATGGGGTCTGAGTGTCACTGTGTGTATAGATATAGAGTAATATGGGGAATGGGGTCTGAGTGTCACTGTGTGTATAGATATAGAGTAATATGGGGAATGGGGTCTGTCACTGTGTGTATAGATATAGAGTAATATGGGGAATGGGGTCTGTCACTGTGTGTATAGATATAGAGTAATATGGGGAATGGGGTCTGAGTGTCACTGTGTGTATAGATATAGAGTAATATGGGGAATGGGGTCTATGTGTCACTGTGTGTATAGATATAGAGTAATATTGGGGAATGGGGTCTGACTGTCACTGTGTGTATAGATATAGATTAATATGGGGGAATGGGGTCTGACTGTCACTGTGTGTATAGATATAGAGTAATATGGGGGAATGGGGTCTGTGTGTCACTGTGTGTATAGATATAGAGTAATATGGGGACTGTGTGTATAGATATAGAGTAATATGGGGACTGTGTGTATAGATATAGAGTAATATGGGGATTGTGTGTATAGATATAGAGTAATATGGGGATTGTGTGTATAGATATAGAGTAATATGGGGACTGTGTGTATAGATATAGAGTAATATGGGGACTGTGTGTATAGATATAGAGTAATATGGGGACTGTGTGTATAGATATAGAGTAATATGGGGACTGTGTGTATAGATATAGAGTAATATGGGGACTGTGTGTATAGATATAGAGTAATATGGGGACTGTGTGTATAGATATAGAGTAATATGGGGACTGTGTGTATAGATATAGAGTAATATGGGGAATGGGGTCTGTGTGTCACTGTGTGTATAGATATAGAGTAATATGGGGAATGGGGTCTGTGTGTCACTGTGTGTATAGATATAGAGTAATATGGGGAATGGGGTCTGTGTGTCACTGTGTGTATAGATATAGAGTAATATGGGGAATGGGGTCTGTGTGTCACTGTGTGTATAGATATAGAGTAATATGGGGAATGGGGTCTGTGTGTCACTGTGTGTATAGATATAGAGTAATATGGGGAATGGGGTCTGTGTGTCACTGTGTGTATAGATATAGAGTAATATGGGGAATGGGGTCTGTGTGTCACTGTGTGTATAGATATAGAGTAATATGGGGAATGGGGTCTGTGTGTCACTGTGTGTATAGATATAGAGTAATATGGGGAATGGGGTCTGTGTGTCACTGTGTGTATAGATATAGAGTAATATGGGGTCTGTGTGTCACTGTGTGTATAGATATAGAGTAATATGGGGGAATGGGGTCTGACTGTCACTGTGTGTATAGATATAGAAGAGTAGCAGAATAGGCTCTGTCACTGTGTGTATAAGATATAGAGTAATAGGGAATAGGGTCTGTCACTGTGTGTATAGATATAGAGTAATATGGGGAATGGGGTCTGAGTGTCACTGTGTGTATAGATATAGAGTAATATGGGGAATGGAGTCTGACTGTCACTGTGTGTATAGATATAGAATAATATGGGGAATGGGGTCTGTCACTGTGTGTATAGATATAGAGTAATATGGGGAATGGGGTCTGTCACTGTGTGTATAGATATAGAGTAATATGGGGAATGGGGTCTGAGTGTCACTGTGTGTATAGATATAGAGTAATATGGGGGAATGGGGTCTGTCACTGTGTGTATAGATATAGAGTAATATTGGGGAATGGGGTCTGAGTGTCACTGTGTGTATAGATATAGAGTAATATGGGGAATGGGGTCTGAGTGTCACTGTGTGTATAGATATAGAGCATTCTTCCAATATGTATTCCTTCAGTTTTACATTTCGAATTATTGCAGTGGTGTGGCTCGTAGCCTTGTGCTGCTTTTAATATGCCACATTGTGGTTTATTTTTTTGTGTAGACTTGGAAAGGGTATTTGCAGTGAGCTCAGTTTCTTTCCATCCTCTTCTAATATTTCTTGGCTAGGGCTGTCTTTCCTTTGTGTCAGAGGAAGAAATTTAGAGGCTGGGTAGCCAGGACACTGCAAGGCATGGGTAGCCAAAACACAACCTCCCTCTATAGCTGGTGTAGAACTCCCATGAGGCTTTGTAACAATATTTGTACCAGGTTTAAACTCGTCCTCTATCTAAGCCATTGTAACGGTTGTCGGAATAATGACTAGTGGATTGTGATCGTGGATGTCTTAGAATTGCTCTTTAAATATTGCTGCATTTTAGTAAATAGAGAATAATTCTCGACCTAAAGGTTTAATAAAAAAAAAAAAAAGCCGTATAGACAAAGACCTAGTGTTGTCACCAACTGGTTAAAACAAGAATGTAGGACGTATGGGGAAAGACTTCCTAATGGTGCAAGGTTGTTGTTGTGGTTATAGCAAGCATGAGTTGGTTATAAGTATGTTTTTAAAATGATATGCTAAATAAATGTACAACTTACAACATGATTAGAGAACGTGGTTATATTCACTTGCCGAACTCTTGGAGTTTAAAACATTTTTTAAAACGCTGATACTTCTGTTTAGTTGCAGGTTTAAAAAAAAAAAAAAAAAAAATTTCCCTGTGTGTGCTCTCATTTTCTGAAATATGTTTTCTGTTTTATAAATGTTAGAGAGATTTGAAAGGAAAAAGGTAATCTTTATTCTCCCACGTGTGGGTATTAAAATTGATTCAGCAGTTTAAGTATTTTTGTACTGACTTTGTACTTTAAAGTTTGATTACAGTACATGGCTACGAAACATGTAAACTGCTGTGATCCGTTTATTTTGTGCATTCATCTGTGTGGCTGGACCATTCCATACAGCAAATGATCGAGGTCACCACCAAAAACCCAGTCTGAGCTGCTGTGTACCTATATCACCGAATACAGCACCCTGGGTGCTAGCTCCTGATACATTTTAGATTGTTGGCACTGGCAAAATATTTGCCATAAAATATGCAATAATAGGTCTCAATTCTTTAAACTGCTAATTTTTAGACTTTAACAAAATCAGTTTGAAACTTTCTTCATCTTCCTTGGTTTTCTAAATTTGCTATTTCAGCCTAAAACAATCTATTCTCCACAATTTCCAATTTAGTTAATAAGCTATAAATAAATATGTTGGATACAGCCTATGACAGGTTCTTTGGGGTCCCAGCACCAGGGCTCCAATAATAGAATAGTCTTTGGTTTCAGTGACCCCTGGTTTTATTTCTTCTATGTAGCTGTGGAAGGAGTTAATAGTATTAAAAGCTGAAAGTGTTTGAGGTATTTGTGGACTTTGTTCTCTGTTCCTAATTCCTTTATTTTTATTTATTTTTCTTAGGGGAAAACTGGGCCGGTATCCTCCGTGGCCTGGAAAGGTGAGCAAATATTTTACAAATTCTACCAAAATCAACAAGTGTCCTAAGCTGGAAATGTGTCAAGGTGACACGCACCGCTTGTGGCTCTACTACCTACACTTTGTTTCCCCAGCTGTTGGCTTGTGAAGGATTATGGGAAGTGTAGTTAATCTCCAACCATATTCTAACATTCCAGATTTAATCTCTACTGAACATTTACACAAAAGATTGGTTTGTTTTCTTATATAGGCCTAGTAGGTTGAAGAACTCTTAAAGCGATACTCCATTAAAAAAAAAAAAAAAATATATATATATATATATATATGGTATGTTTTATTTGAGGGCATATGGCATTTTAGTTTGTAATAGCTGCTTGACTATCTGCAACTAATGCAAATCATTCCCTTCTTCCGCAGCACAGACTTTCTAACTTGTGCCAGGGAATGATTATTCAGAGGCTTCCCATTGAGAGACCTTGAAGACCAGTCACCCATGCGCAAGGTTGTCCAGTTAGACTTTTATGACAAACTATTGAGAAGCCTTTCATGGGCAGGTGCTCAGCACAAACTGAGCTAAACCTGATGGGGAACACAACACCTCTTGACTGCCAA